GCACATCAAAGATTTAAAAACTGAAGTCAATACAAACCGTTGTTGGCAAAGTTTTTATAGGAAACCTGCAGGCTCGTTTGCAGTTCTTGTTTTCCAAGATAAAAGTCACTAGCATTTTTTCGGTAGGTTTTTTGTATAGCCAACACTGATGGACAAAAAAAATAAAGACGAAATTAAGAGTAAAACATTTTCCAAGAGATATTTTTAGTGTTGGTCCGAAAGCACGTCACAATTCTAATATGATAATTACACTTGTTACATAATCTTCTAAAAAGTACAGTCCTCTCTAGATCATCACGACGTCGGAAAGTTGAGGTTTTAACGCTTTTTAACACTCTAAAAAAAATGCCCATAATCACTGTGATTGATAAAAATAAATGGTCAATGGGAGGGATGAACCGGCTTGATCTGGCTACAGCACTGATCAGCGGGTCCCTTGAAAAAAAGTTAAATCATCAAATCAGCCATTATGTCATTGGTCATTGTGTCAGTCGATAAACAAGTAATGGATTACTTCAAATCGGTACAAATGATCATGCACTGACTCACCCAGTTTTTGGCTGTTTATCTCTACTGAAGAATTCGCTCCAATCATTCGGTGTTTGCCATAATCAAGTGCGAATACCTCCAAGGCGACTGCCACTTTAAAGACGGAATTTCTTATTATTTCGATTTCTTCTTTGGTAAAAGGTTTTTTTTGGTTTTGGGTACTGGTGATGAAGTCTTCAAAAATCCCTATAGCTTCCTGAATAATATAACATATTTCTGTTAAAGTAAAATGCTAAAAATTGGGATCCGTGAGACTCAAACAAGATATCTGAGTTTCCCATGAGTATCGAGCGGCAGAACCCCTGATCGCGGTCGAACATTTTAACAAAACAGTTTGTGGTAAAAGTAACGCATTAATTATACAAGCAAGGCCTATATTTCGTCTACTTCCAGTTAGGTTACATAAAGAATTGGTAAAGAAACGAATAAAAGCCAAAAATGGATAAAAGAACGAAAAATCCTGCAGGATAGCCAAATGGTGTGTAGGATGTGCACAAGTTAAGGAATCAAATATTTCACTCATGTCAGTTCATATCTTAGTAATGATAATAATAAGGATAGTTATAATGATAATGCTATAATAATTGTAATAATGATATTGAGAACGATGGCGATAATGATACGGTCTTGATTGCTCTTCTTCGAATGAATTAGAAGTTTTCTTCAAGCTTAGAAACTGCTGCATTGTATCGGTCAGTCTCTCTAACCATTGCGCACTTCATATAGACTAAGTGGATTAATCACAAAAGATAAGCAAGAAATAAGTTCATACCATCAAGGACAAGATTCTACTGATTACTCCTCCTTTTAGTTTGGAAACAGAATCGTTTGCCTGAGATGAATAAAG